TTTCAACAGGGTCTCACTCTGAACCTTTTCCAGGCAGAATTGCTCAGGGATTTTTAGACTTCCATTCTGGAAAAGAGGGGATAGTTATTTTGGTGTGATTGTGGCCTTGTGGTTAGACCTTGTGACGGGGGCCTCAGCCAAAGGGTTCAAATTTTTTTCCAAGCTTTTCCCTCACAACTTGAGTTAATCCGAAACGTTGCTTTTAGGCCACTGGACATGCTTTTCTATATGCCTGTGTTTGGCTGTTTGGATTGAAGGCCCAGCAAGGGAAGGCACCGTCGCCCATCTGATATGGGCAGGCCTCTACAATTTTATTCCCTAACCAGGACATGACAAACTATGGCCCATAGACCAAAACTGGCTTGCCACCTGCTTTTGTCTGGTCAGTGAGCTAAGAATGACTTTTTATTATCATTATTAATAATGTTTTTTGAGACAGGGTCTCATTTTGTAACCCAGAGTAGAGTGCAGTGGTGCAATCATGGCTCCTGCAGCCTCAGACTCCTGGGCTCTAGCAATCCTCCTGCTTCAACCTCCTGAGTAGCTGGAACCTACAGGCATGTGCCACAAGCATGTATCATCACGTCCAGCTAACTTTTTTTATTTTTGTAGAGTCTTGCTGTTGTTGCCCAGGCTGGTCTGGAACTCCTGGCCTTCAGCAATTCTCTGGCCTTGGCTTTCCAAAGCGTTGGGACTACAGGCCTGAGCCGCCGCATCCAGCACTTTTATTATTTTTAAATGGTTGAAACACATCAAGAGAGGAATAATATTTTCTGACACAGGAAAATGATATGAAATTCACATTTCAGTGTCTATAAATAAGGTTTTATTGGAGCACAGCCATGACACAAGACATACCCTCACTGCCTGTGGCTGCTTTCGAGTTACGAGGGCTGAGTCGAGTAGTTATGACAGAGATCGTATGGGCCGCAAAGCCTAAGATATTTGCTGTCTGGCGCTTTACAGAAAAGGTTTGCCGGCCCTGCCCTGAACAAATAAGGGGACAAATTCCACTTGCCCATCCATCTGTGGAGCAGAGTCACTGAAAGGAAATACTGGAAATACTGGAAACCACATGGGTGTTTTATCAAGGATGTGAAGTTTCCTGGCAACTTCGTTGCCTCATCATCATCATCATCATCATCATCATCATCATCATCATCATCTGCCCTTTAAGTTTGCTGCTTGTTTAGAAAAGAAATGTATACAGAGCCCTCAGTAGCGGCTGTAAGGGGGCAGGTTCTCGGAGCAGCTCATCCTCGACATTCTTGCCGCTGATGGAAGATTCTTGAGGATGAAGGCCCCTCTATGGGAGCAGGCTCCATCTGTCTGGCTTTAGTAGATGCCAGTTTCTGCTAAGACTAATTCCTAAAGAAGCCTCTCCTCATTTTCCTTTTCTCCCTGTTTTCATTGGGGGGAAGTAGAAGAGGAGAAAAAGAATTTAGAGATGCTTACCTTTTTCTTTTTGCTGGTAATTTAACAGTCTTTTCAGCTGCTTTGATTCCTGTCGGGCCGTTGGTGTTGTACGTATTTCAAGATTTGCTCACAGGTCCAAAGCTTGACTTAAGCTCCCTGAGACGTATCATAAAATATGATGTGGGGAAAAACCCTAATGGGCCATGATCAGAACATTATTATTCAACAAAGGATGAAATGCTTAAGCCAAGATGGCCTTCTTTCTTTCTTTCCTTTTTTTTCTTTTTAAAGGAACGTTGAGCAGACTCCCTTCCAACAGTTTTCAATGTAGGAATTCCCACAGCCCCATGTGATTGCAGTTTGTTGAAAAGTTTAATGTTTTTGTAGGCAATTCATAATTTCCACGTTGAACAGCCTAAGAGGAAGAGAGCTGGAGCCCACTGTTGTTTTTCTAGTGGGATGGTGGGAACTTTTTTTTTCCCTCCCCCAAAAGGATATAAAACCAAGTCAGATGGTTGGGAAAACGTGGCACAGGGTTCCAGCCCTTTTGTAAATCTGAGATGCCCCCTCCTTCAGGTCTTCCTTTAGGACCTAACAGAATAGAATTTCCTGCTGCTTAATGTCTCCAGGAAGGAAAAAATTTTCCTCTAGGCTGTAATAGTACCTAATTTCCTTTTTCTTCCCTTTATTTATTTATTTTCCCTATTAATAAGGACCAATTGTAGAAGATGAAGGAAGCTGGGAAACCCATCACTTTTGGAGAAGGTTAATAGCTTCCTTTAGAAAATCCTGACATAATACTTATTTCCCCAAAAGGCACTTCATCAGCCTGAATGCCAGTTAAGATTCAAGGAACGGGCTTGGATTTGTGTGTACCCAGCGGTTCTGTGGCATCAAGTTGCACTGGGAAGGAGAGTTTGGGGCTGTCACTGCGGAGTCCCTGCAAGTCAGCAGGACCAGGGCTGTCTTCCTGCACCATCTGGATTTGCTTAGCTCTCTCTGGGCAGTGGGGCCGAGTCTCATTTCCTCCAACAGTAATGTTATATAGGCAATGATCCTGAGCTGCCCTAACATAATTGAAAATTATGTGTATTGTAGGCTTGGAGCGCTGAAATGTAGGCTCATAAAAATATGTGGTGCAGGTAGCCTATGGAGATTGGATGTGGCACACAATGAAGCTTTTATGTAAAGTAAGAATTATAAGTCTCCATGTTAATATTGTATTATGAGTATGACAGTTCCTGGGTGGGTCCTCAGGGCAGGTCTGTCACCTTCAACAAAGCCCAAGTTTCCTAATTCGACAGAGCTAGTATTTGGATGTAATCAAATCAGTTTTGCAGGTGGTCAAAGATGAAAACTTGTCCACGAACGCAGCTCTCCCCACTGAGGGATAGCTTGGGGTGTAGATGGGTTCCACTCCATTTGGCGTTTTTGTTCATGGGTTTTTATGAGATGGAGAGGTGAGTGTTCGTGGGTGTCCACTTTGGTTGGCCTCAAGGAAATGACTCTATTGAGTGGTTTTGACCAATGCAGCGCATATAGTTATGTGGTAAGTGAGAATGGGAAGAAGTCGGGGTGAGACGGGGCAGTCAGATTCCCAGAGCCCTCTGGCCTGGGTTACAGATGGAGACTCTGGAAATATTTACGTCAGTGGTTCTCAACTTGAGATGATCCTGCTCCCAGAGAAGGTAATTGGAAGTGGTAAGATGGTAAGGATGACAGAGGGGTTCCTGTATTTACTGTCTGGGGGCTTGGAGTCCTAGAAATCCTTCAGTGTTTGGGACAGACTCCCCATCTAATACCCTGTGACAGATAGGACAACTCCTTCGGTACTCAGATGAAAAAACCAGAGATCGCAGAAGCAAGGGGATTCAATGCAGGGTCTTGTGGCGAGTTACAGACACAACGAGACTAATATCTAGGTTGCTCACCATGGGAGGCCTCTGGGTGAAAGCTCTGAATTTGTAGCAGACCCACCCACCTTGTATAGATCCTAGACATCGTGGGAAAATCGACTGTGCACTTTGGCAGGTAGTTCTTGGGCAGTGATCTTTCAGCTTTAAGTATAACCAAATTTGGTTTGAATTTACCAAGCCGTCGTATCTTTGAGGAACTCATCGGCTGACTTGTGGATGGCTTTGGCACTTCTGTCTCATGTGGAATTTGTGCAAACTATTCTGTATTATCCTTTCCTGTCTTTTTTCTTTCTATTGAAATTGTTCTGACCATCAAGACCTAACTCTGTGCAGCCCTCCCCAGTCTCGTGTCCCAGAAATTCTGTCATCTTTCTTGGCATTTCCTGAGTTCCTGAGTCTCTGTCACAGTGTCACCATATTCTGTCTTGATTTACCTGTGTCTGTAAGGCTCCTCATGCTGGCACAAGCTCCGTGAGAGCAGACATCTTTGTATCTCCTAATGCTTGTCACAGCCTGTACACAAAGCAAGTAGTACTCAGTGTTCATTGAGTAAAGTTTTCCATAGAATTACTATTAAAACCAGCCATGTATTTTGCTTGAGGAGGTCTCCAAAATGACCAAGGTGTCTCCTTGTATCCCCTCCAAGCATTCATTAACTGATGGATTAGTGAGTTGGCCGTGGGAAACATAAAGGCTCCTCTCCATGTGCTTCTAAGCATTGTGTCTAAGTTCCCTTTGGTTTCCTGAGTGAAACTGTCATAATGTTACCAACGGAAGTTAAATGCCTAAGAGTTTCTTATACATGGGCTGAGTACGCCTGTGACTGGGGAAGCCACCTCACCTCATTTTACCTTGTCTGCAAAATGAGGAACTGGGGCAACTCATCCTTCAAATCTCACTGAAAGCTAATGGATTGCTTTTGACAGAAGTAGCTCCCTTGGGCCGTATATTCATTTCCTAGTTTGGAGGAAGGTGGGGACAGACAGAATTGACTTACACCTTTATTTTTATGTCTACGGTAAACCCGTGCGTACTAAAGCATTCCTCTGGTCTTTTGAGGTGAGTGTATACATTGTGTCTGGCACCGTGCATCTTTTACCAAGAAGTAATTTTTGTTGAGTAAACTTGGGTTGTGTGAGGAACTGCATGCTCACCGTACTCAAATAGCTTTTGCTACCTAAAGGATAGCTGCTCACATGTACTTGACTTCCTTTAAAGTGAAGGATGATGACATTTGAAAAACAGAGGTTGAGAAGGAGCAGATTTGGAATTGATGGTTTCCTAGGACACTTCTGGCTTGAGATTTGTGTTTTACTTCCTTTGGAATAGCTCTATATTCCTCTCCCTCCCCACCTCTCCCACTGCCCTCCACCCCCCACCCAATTAAGGTAGTAGCAATGAAATCATTTTTTTCTGAAGCTACCCTGTAGTTTGAATGCAAAGATAAAAAATACAATTGCTAGTAACATTAATCTTCTATATGTGTACCTGTTGAACTTGAGCTCTAAGGAAGAACCTATTGGTATCGCATGCTTTTTTTTTTTTTTTTTTTTAAATGATTATTTGCATGCTTGTATGTTTTTTAGTTTCTGACCCATGTCACAGTTATTTCTTGGGCTAGCTGTTCTGCGTTTACTTTCTGAATTCATTGTTTTCCATTTCACTTTTGTTTCCTCTCGCCAGTATCTCCAGATGAAATGGCCACTGCTTGATGTCCAGGCAGGGAGCCTGCAGAGTAGACAAGCCCTCAAGGATGCCCGGTCCCCATCGCCGGCACACATTGTCGTAAGTAACCTCCCAGAGATGATGGCTTCCTTGATTGAGGGGGTGAAAAAGAAAATGCTTTTTTGATGATAACAGGCCTTATTTGTCATTTTTCTCTTTCTTTAAACAAAATTTCTTTGGAAATATTCTTGGATATAGCTTATGTCTATAAGGTATTCATTTTCTGCTATTGGACCTTAATGACTGTAACCTACCCAGAAATTTTACAAACCTTTCCTCCACTCTTTTCCATGTATTCGGTTAGAATCTAGCCTTGCGGGCTCTAGTTTATGGGACACAATCACCATGGTATGGAGGAGACTAGAAGTGGTATCAAAGCAGTTATAAAAATACATTCAGGGGAGGTGAGGTGAAGAAGAGAGAATTAGAAAACTCAAAAGGGGGTCCTGGATTTGAAACTTGCCTATTATCGTCTCCCCCAATTTATCTTAATATTTGTTGGTAACATTCTACACTAACATTAGACAAATGTCATCTGGGCTGGCTTGATTTGTAAACCTAGAGTAGAAATGAACTCAGAAAGGCTAAAATGGAATTTAATCTATACATCTATGACTTTGAAAGTATGTGGGTTCGATAGAGAAAACATTTGTTTTTAGTACTAAGAGACTACAAGTGTGTGTCTACATATATTTTTAATGTATTTTCTTAGGGCTTTGTAGGCTCTAAGAGTGGAATTTATAAATTAACCTCTTGAGAAGATAGCTCAGCCTTATTTGAAGATTCCCTTCTATATATCATGAGCTGGACTTCATGCTTTTGAAATAATTAATGGAAGGCACATTTTTATAATGAATCCATCCATGACAGGTAGAATTATGCAAAGCATGAATCAATCATGTATTTTTCATTGAAGTATCACAAGATGTTAATCATAAATACATTTTACCTCTGTATTGTAATTTCTAAAAATCGCAAAACAAGTTTCTTAAGTAGAAAAATCTTAAGATGCATTCTTCCATTTTGGGCTAACTGCCTCCTTATTTTGGAGCTTGCTGTAACTGAACATGTGTTATTTAATGAGTTATACCTCTCTCATATGTGTGTGTATATATCACAAAATAACTTATTTTTGTAAAACCATATTTTGAGTCATCATTTGTGACAATGTCTTCTTTTCTATGGTATAAACGAGGCATGTAGAAAGAAGATTGACATTTGCTAGAAGCTTCCCCTTTCTTCCAACTCCACAATAAAATGGATGCTCATAATTACGTCTGCTCCTATAAGGTCAAGATTTCAGGGCTGGAAGTGACCTTAGATCATTTAGGCCCAACGTGCCCTCAGAAAAGGAAACTGAGGCCCAGAGATGCCTTAAGTGAATTGCCCAATGTCACACGCTGAGTCAGTGGCCAGAGCAAGGCCTGGATCCAGTTCTCTGCTCCCTTTCTAGAGCCTTGTGGTGTCTTCTCTCCTACGGGAGGTGAAAGTAACTTGCTGTGGTTGGTTCTGTTTTGCTGACTGTAAACTGGGTCATGGTCAGGGACAGTGCATAGGTATAAAGAAGTTGCTAGTTGGGGGTTCTAATGCAGGTTTCTTTGAAAGTGAATGCCCTGTTAAAAAAAAATTCATAACAAACATACAGAGATTTTTTAAAAAAGCGTGACAGTTCTAGACACCTAGAGAATAAAGTGAAGAAGCCTGTTTCACTTTTCCCGCCTCCCTGAATTTCCCAGCATGGTCCAGGCTGTGAAATTTATTTCTCTGCTTTTGGCAATGGTTGATGGGAATTTCCCACATTTATTTTTTAGCTACAGAGAAAGGACATTATCTTTAAAATCTCTTCGTTGTTTTCTCTCTTTGAGTGAGGAGAGAATATGCGAATCCTGGCAGTAGTTCAGAGTGGACACAGCCCCTGTGTTTGTGACATAGGCTCTGTGGGCCCCATGCCAGGGGGCATTACCCCCGTGCAAGAGTGGGGATTCGTCCATTTGGATAGAGCAATGATTCTCCACCCCAAATTCCGTAAGAGCAGTTGCCGAAACTTAGGCCCTAAGCATCTCATTTTCCTATGTAGAAGTTAATGGTCTGGAGGAGATGGCAAAACATTCCTTCCAGAGCCTGTGTGGATTTTGGCCAGGGGTGCAGCAGGGGGGCTTAGGCCCCTTCTTCCTCTGCTGTGTCTGTCTTAGCAGGTGTGTTGACCCACAGCGACTCCCCTGGGGGATACACACCATCTTGTAGTTGGAGACCTTTGTCCAAAGCAGCCACAGCTGGCAACTGCCCTACAATGTTTTGTGCTTTCTGCTGTGCTAAAGGGACCTGGGAATGGCCATTGCCTAGAGGGGATGGGCTGGTGGAGGAAGGTGGGCTCTGGGAGCTGGGGAGAAGGGAAAAGCCATGAACTTGGACAAAAGGACAAATGTGGTGTACGGTTGTGAAATACTTGAATGCTTGTCATGAATGGCGACTTTGGTTCTATCAGTCAGCCCTGTGATGGGGCTTTTCTGCAGTCTTCACCTGACACCAGGGGTGAGAAGGAGGATGTCTGGGGAGGAGGAATTATTTGAGGGAGATAGGAAAGTAGAGTGGAAGAAAGGCCGTGTGTTGTTGACCTCCATCCACCTGGTCACCTCTAGTTTTGGGGATTGAGGATGCATACACCTTGAGACTACAGATTTATGATTATATTTTTGCTGAATGTAAGGCAATGTGCCAACCAAAACCAGCTGTACCTTGGCTGGTACGGTGTGTCTGTGTTTGTAAAGGGCGCATTCTGAATGGTGGCTGATACATCATTTGGGTCTTTGTAGAGTCAAACATCGGCCAGAGGGTCTGGTTCTTGTTTGGAGTTGCTGATGAAGGGCTAACTTTTCTGCAGACACTTGGGGCTCTTGCCCATACTTTGCTTTTCGTTCTTTTTAGTAAGACGTTGTCACATCACAGTGTTTCATCAGACATGTTTCAAAATAATTGTCTAAGGATTGCTTCCTAATTTCTCCGAAATTTGGAATTGTTGTAACTTTTGGGCCAAGCTATTTCATAATTATTTCTACTGTCTTGCTTGGAGAATTAGGGATGTATTCAGTGTTTATTATTAGTCATTCGAAACTACAACTTTCACAGATTGCTAAGAAGAATAACTTTTTCTAGTACCCATTTGGGGCAGAATCTTCACGTGGAAATTGAGAGCATTTCGCTGGACTACTTTAATCTGATTGGATTATTTTCATGTGGTATGTGGGTTACCACATTAGAAAAAATTGATGTGTAGAATAAATGTTCTTAACAAGTGGAGGTCAACTTATCAAATGATATTTCAATTAAGAATAGACTCCACAAATTTTAGTTCCTGTAGCTGATACAGCATCTCGTTTGTTACAATCCAGTGATTCCTAATCTGTGTTCAGAGGAGACAGGAAATTGATTCCAACAGGGATGATGTCTTCATTGGCTGGCCCCAAACTGGGAGTTTCTACAAGGCATTAGTCTTTGCCTTCCTCCTCCCCACCTTCCCTCTCCCTTCTTCCCTCCCCACATCCCCCAACAAATTCATGGACTTCTTAACAACTCGGAGACATTAGCCACAAGTTCCAAGACACCCCCACCCCCCAGCCTCCCCAATCCTATTTTTGCATTCACATAACTAAGCTCTTTTTCTTTCTTGGTGGAGTTTTGAAATTTATATTTTTAATTCTTTGCTCCCTTTTTCCCTCTTACAAAATGAGTGCCAAGCAGCTAAGTTGTGCTGAGTGGTAGAGTTTGAGTCAGTCTTGGCTGGTAAGCTGTGGGGTTAGGAGCCGCTCCCTGGATACCACCTCCGGTGTCTGTGCTGTACAAAGGCTTTCCTTTAGCCTCCTTTGTATCCAGCAAAAAAAGATTCTGTACCCCAAATGGTGGTATTTTGGTATAGTATATGTCTTACAAAATGGCAAAAGGCTTCAAAAGTTCCTACCGTTTTATCTTGGGGGTTTCCTTTTGAAGTCGATGTAGAATTTTACCTTGGGGTGGATTTTTTGTGCTTCTTGGTCTGGTGTGTTTTGTTGTGTAATGAGCATGGAGGTGTGGGATAAGAAAGCAGACTGAATCCTGAGGAACAAAGCCTGCCAGACTGTGGTGGTGTACTTTTCTTCTTGTTATTGCTTAAATGCTGCAAGAGAGTGGAAAACTCTTACGAAATAATGCACGATGGGTAAAGCTTCAGAGAAAGTCTCTGCCATCTACCCTGTGCATTTTCAAGGAAGCTCAGAGGGCATGCTGAACCTTTGCTTTTTGTTTCTGAAGAGTTCAGGGGAGCCTACCCATAATTAATTTTTTAAAACACTACCTAGAGAGCACCCTCTTGGTTATTAAACACATGTGTTGTTTCGATGGGATGTTTGACCTGGATTCTGGATGCTTGCTGGGATGTGGCATGTGTTGGGAGGCTCTCTGCTGCCTGCTGAGCACCAGCAAAGTCACGGTGGCCCCTACCTCTGTGGGAGGCCCTGCGCCAGGTGCCCTCAAAGTGTAGAGGGCCCATGAGGCTATGACCAGGGGGACCTGATTTCAGCTGAGAAGTTGGTGGGGATTACAGGCCTGGGCGGCTCCCTGAGGAAATTGCATTAAAAGTGAGATCTGAAGACTTGATTGGGGTTGGCCCCGTGAAGGAACAGGAGAAGGGATGGGGAGTGTGCAGAAGCAAACACATGTATGAAAGTCCTCAAGGGAAAAGTGCTTGGTTTGGACAGAGGCAGGAAATCAGGTAGGAGGCTAGAGGTTGGGCAGGGCTCCGGGAGAGTGACGTGGGGTGCAGCATATGGTGAGGATTTGACACTGGGGAGTCACTTGAGCAGGTTGGCTGTTTCAATAGGAGCGTGTGTTAAGCTGGCAGCGGGGATGGTGAAAATAGAGATGTGGAGGAAACAGCAGCGGAGCTTGCTGATAGGTTAGATATTGGCATGGAGGGAGAAAGGAGAGTCAAAGGTAGGTAGCTGGAGACGCTTCACTGAATGGAGAGTATTGGAGGAGGAGCAGGTTTGGGGTGGAAGCGTTGTCTTTTTGGAGAGATTGTATTTGCC